CCAGTTAAATCTCGTGGTGGAGGTGGAAAAAAGAAACTGACTGCGTTCAATAAGTTCATGGTAAACGCTATCAGCTGTATCCAAATCTATTGAGATACTTACTAGTACTTTTCAACAGCAAACTGAATTGGCTCGCCTGAAAGAAGATGAGCCAGATGTTTCTCACCAGGATAGGTGAGTATTCGTGCTTCAAGCGGCCGATGTTTTGCTCATGTAGGCTATAGATTCAAACTCGCAACGTCCAACTGGAAACATAGCGCACAAAATCCGAACAAAGCTTCGTAATCCTGCTGTCATCTCATCATCCCAACTTGCAACGTCCGACTGAAAACATCGCGCGCAAAGACCGACCTAATCATGCTGTTGAAACGTCTCGAACTCACTGTATTGCACTCTTTTATTTCTTGGTCAACAGCATACATTCGGAATGCACGTTATGCCTACATATTTTTATTTCCGCTGTCCTCTGCTTTTGCTTTTGTTGTTGTCCGTAACTTGCTGCTGTATCATTCATTGTCGATTTTATTTTAGGTCTCTTATTGTTGAAGTTGTTGCTATTTCGAATACATTGTATTTGCCTCTGGACCCCGAGGATGTAGCTTTGTCACTTTCTTCTCTCTTACAGCATTGCTCATCCATCCTCAGAACGTTTCTCCCACTTACATATGCGCATGATAATTTAGTGCTGTTATTTCTGTCGGGGGGTTGCGGTTTCCTCTGTGCATCGGTGTGTCTACAGCATGTTTAATCATTTCCGAATGAAGTGAAGTGGGTTCAGGCTCTACAATAGGTCCTGTCATCATCGGTGTCCACATGGCAAAGAGGAGTTGTCAGTTTGTTCATCGGTCCCGTCGTACTTCATTTGGCAAGTTGTGTAGAATCAGTAGATGTCACCTATCACTCGTGTGAGTTGTGCATCTTCTAATAGCCGGTGCGATGGCGCGAGAGAGCAAGAACAAGGCAAAACTTGTGTACGCGAGTAACGCCAGGGGCAGTCAATGTCATTAGCATGGGTAGCAATTGGACCTATCTAGACTTCTCGAGATTCATGGCTATATGCGCTCATGTGTTGTGTGACATGTGAAGTGTAACTAAGTAGGATCCAGGAAGTGAGTGCACAGTTTGGCAAAATGCATGCGTTCGATTTGTGACATTGGTAGAATAGATCACAGTCTTTGACAGTATACTATATCTTTACTAGCTGTGATAATGTGACTCTGAGATAGTACTACTACTACTAGTACTAGTAGTAGTGGCTGGTGCTTGGCGCTAACTTATGTTCGGTATTGTCGGCGCGAGAGGTCCTGAGAGGTCACATGCTCGGCTTTCGGAGAGACCTGCCTGATAAATCGATATGTGATTCTGAGCCTCGGCCTTATCCTCCGTTTTGACTGCTGGCTTTACTGCGATACACTTGTTTCTCTTCCAGCTTCTATCGATCCCCCACGGTGCATGAGCTAACGCGTTGTCATCCCTAACATGAGTACAACGCATGTCTCCGACGAGCCATTCTTTCAGTTTGATCCATATGAAGAGCTAAACTCCCCCATCTCTTCTCAGAATCCCTCCTCATCCAAAGCTGAACCACTTGCTTTGGATGATCCGTCAATGATGGACGGTGAAGTTTCTATGGATAAAGGGAAACAAGTTTCCAGACCTCTGCCTATCATGATATCCGCCCCAGTGACTCCAGATTTTGACTATTTTGCAATGTCTTCATGCTCCACATCTTCCAGCTATCCAGATACACCTAACACGGCCACTGTCTTATCCTCACCTGGAGGTTTCTCATTCCCGAGCTTCAGTCTTGGCTCCTTTAGCTCCGTGTGGCAGGAGTCATCCAGCTCCATGGTCGATCCTGTTACCAGTGGAGATCCGTTTGTTCAGAACGGCGCAACTAGTTCTGATTCTGCTACGGACAGGAAAGGTAAAGGAAAAGAAAGAGACAATGAGCCTTCGTCCCTGTTTCCTCTATCGTTCTCCTCTGCTACTACTTCCATAGAAACGCGTGAGCCTGTCATTTCATCATTGGACGAGCTTGGGGATGTCGAGCGTACCTGCGATCAGTCAGCCCCTTTATCCACTACTACGTATAGAACGTCGCTTTCGCGCAGACACTCACTTTCGCATACTATAACCCGACGTCCGTCATCTTTGACAAGACTCAAAGCTAAATTCAGCTCACCCAGGACTTATCGCAAAGTTTTATTTAAGAAGAAGCTACCCACTCCCCCTGCACAGATTGCCATTCCCCAGCTTACTCCAACGGTTGATGTACATACTCATTCTCCTGCTCCGCTCTCACTGGAGGTTAAATTACCTCTTGGTGAAATAGCGCTTGAAACAGTAATGCCAGTGCATACGCTATTCAGAACCAAAGGACGATCTAATTCTTCTCCTTTACCGGTTTCCGCTTTAGATTATATTCCTGTCCATTCAGAAGATCTCTTTGCCCCCATACCAATACCCTCGTCGCGTAACCTCTTCGATGAGGTTTTGCCCAAGGAGTTGAAGCTGCACATTTTGATGTCGCTTGTTGCGTTACACGAGAGCGATCAGGTGAAGCTGATATCTCAGGCCGACTGGAGTATAACGAGAGCTATATCTTCCAAGAACAGATGGCTAGGCAGGGATAGAGCTGTCCGAGAAATGGTCAAGTTGAGCCGAGTGAGTAAAATATCTTTCTTTCGACGTTTGTGATGTTTAGTATATATACTAGGTCTCTAAAACGTGGCGAAACTTGATCTATGACGGCCAGCTATGGTCCACCCTTGAATTCCGTGCGTTCCCGACAATGTCGAAGGTCTTGCTATCCAATATTGCGAAATCCGGAGGCCGTTTTATCAATTCCATAGATCTTTCAGGGCATGTTCATGTCAGCCCCACGACTCTTATAGATATCGCAGATAATATGTGTTTCTCTCCACCGTTTGCCTTTACACAGCTGACATCATTGAACTTGCGCGGATGTACGGCCCTTTCCACTCGTTCTCTCCATTATCTTCTTGTTCGATCTCCTGCATTGAAACAGGTCTGTCTCAAAGGCCTACATGCCGTCACTAACAAGACTTGGGACATCATCGCCATGTATTGTCCCCGTATTACAGAACTCGACTTGAACAGGTGCCCTAACATGGATGCTGCGGGATTGAAGAGCCTAGCGTTGACCTACAAGGCACGCGGAGAACTACTTCAATGGACGGAGCTTCGGGTCTCTGGTTTGAAAAACATAAACGACAGTGTAATGGAACTATTAGGGCAAGTTGCTCCGTTTTTAGAAGTCCTCGATCTTAGCTACGCTCGCCAACTGCACAATTCTGCTTTGGATGCGTTTGTCGCTCTTCAGGACAGCGCCCTGGCCACCGAGTCGGTTCTTCTAACATCCCGCGAGGCAGGACGAGACCCGAGTGACTACAACAGATACAGGCGACGTGTTACTCGTCTCCGGCACCTCTCGTTGTCCTCTTGCAATTTACTGACCGATATCGCCTGCTCTCATTTGGCACATACTGTTCCGCGCTTAGAGTTTTTAGAATTGGGTGGGATAGGAGACGAATTGGGAGATGAGGGGCTTATCCGACTGCTGAACACGACACCTATGATCCGCCGATTGGACCTTGAAGACGCGGTTGAAATTAGCGACGCCTTGTTGAGCGCTATCACTCCAGGACCTCCTGCCGCCAAGAATGGAGCTACAGATCTTCAGCCAGGGCACGCCTTGGAGCATTTGGTGATATCGTATGCTACCGAAATCACTGACAATGCCCTCCTCGCATTAATCCGAGGGTGCACTCGTTTAAAGGTCTTAGAGGTGGACAACACCCATATCGGTCCCTCTGTATTACGAAAGTTTTGTGAATTGCGAAGAACTGGTTCCAAGATTGTTGCGGTGGACTGTCGTTCTATCCCTGAGGGCGTAGTGAAAGACCTCGCGCCTTTGATTCGTCCCAGGAGAGGATGGCGAGGATGGGATGCACGGAAGCTGCGATTCCTTGATGGGCGCGATTTCGGAGTTAGTCAAAGCAACAGTGGTGAGAGAGACAAGGAGAAGGAAGCGATTATGAAAGTTGCTCTGGGGCAAGATGAACTTGATGAGGCGAGGGTTGTCGTGAAGACCTTTTATTCGTGGCAGCTCGTAGATGCGGTTTGGTCTGCGAGAGACAAGCGACGTAAGGCGATCTCACGAAGAAAGGCGAATGAGTCCTCGGGAAGTACAGAGACCGATCCGGAGGAGTTGAACGGCGTGGACCGCACACGCTGGTGGTCTCCTGGTGGGCGAAGTTCTCGCTCAGCAAGTGGGAGTAACTCTCCCCTCGCACTTCCAGACGCCAATGGTGGTGATACGTGCGTAATAATGTAACACTTTTTTTTTTTCGCGGAATTCTTTTGGAAATGACTAACGAAATTATGTTGTACTACGACGATCATATACGATCAATCTACCTTACTACTATCTTGTACTGATTTAACTGCTTGCTGTCGTATATATGTATGTACTGTATACATCTTGTACACTATTGAACTTTGTCTGTATCTTGTACAATAGACCAAAGGGTTAAAAGAAGGCATATCTCCAAGAATAATATCATGGACTGTGGATTGGGCGCGAGACTCGCCCTGCTAAGATGCTGGCGGAGGGGGCAAGGAACTTTCTGAGCAGACTGAGCTTCAAACGAAAATTTTGTTGTATGACGATCGATTTACCTTTCAGATTGCCAACCGTATTCTTCTTCTTGAGCCAGTTCAAGTTTGTTTTTTTGCGTGTTAGGCTTATCCCACTCCTCCATCGCGGTGTTGTTTGCAATCACCTCAAATGAGCAATCTTGGCACTCAAATTTCTCATTTACCACAGATTTACCACCTCTCTCTTCCACTTTACCATCTTACTAATGTCAGCTGTGCTGACTCTGATCTTCATCTGGCATTGAAAAAGCTCTCACACATCGGGCGATACGCAAACTAGTTACACAATTTTATTAAGCAGCGTCAGCTTATTTAAATCCTTCTTAGCTCAGTTGGTAGAGCGCGTCACTAGTATTTGCCAATAATTATTATCCATTATGACGAGGTCAGTCGTTCAAGTCGGCTAGAAGGAAGGACTTTTTCTATAAGATGTTTCTTTTTTAGTCCGGCCGCAAAGGTACTGTGGAAAGAAAGATAAAAACCAGTCGAAGTGACGGTAGGAACGAAAATTGATTACATAAAAAGGTCAGTCGTTCAGGTTGGCTAGAAGGAAGTATGCTCTATCATTCCAGATGTTCTCTCCTTGTTGGTCGAAGTGTCATATATAAGTCTATTCATGAGGTCATTGGAGGACCTTTGTTTCGACCGGGGGATTGGTTCGATGAAGCTTTGAAGAACGAAACGTTTCGACATACGACTGGATGGCGCAACACTTGTGGCGCGTCCAGCTATGACGCACTGCTTTACGTCGGCTCCTCGAAATGAGCTCATCGTCACTGGAGTACTTAAAACGATAGCTGACCAGATTTGAAGCCACTATTAGTTGTTGTGTACCATGTCGAATATCGGAGACAAAGTCAAGTACGTATATCCACTTTACTTCTACTTGGGAACCACCGTATTGATTCTGCAACAGAGGAACCTTCAATACATTCCAGGGTACAGATAGAGCCAATGAAACATATTCCGACGCGCACTAATGCTTGTTACAGGCGTTGGAGAAAGCATCAGAGGCACAGCGCTTGGAGCTGTTGATACCGTTACCCGTGACAAAGATGGCGAGCTAAAGAACGAACAGATCGCTCAACAGGGAAGAATGCAGACACGAACCGGAATGGATCAGATGAAGGGGCGTCAGGCTCAGATGAACCAGACTGGGACTGGCGTTGGCGGTGGTGAATATCCACAACACCATCGCGATAACGAGGTTTATAACGAAGGAACAGCTCGTGATGTGCGTGACGGAGTCCAGCAGCCAGAGTACGGGATGCAGCAGCCGTCTGCAGGATACGGCGCTAACGAGAACATACAACCACAATACGGTTCAGGAAATTCCGGGTACGGAGCTGGCGATGACACGAATTCACAATACGGGTCTGGAATGAATCAGATGAACCAGACTGGGACTGGGGTTGGCAGTGGCAATTACCCACAGAACCATCGCGATAATGAGGTTTACAACGAAGGAACGGCTCGTGATGTGCGCGATGGAGTCCAGCAACCAGAGTACAGAACGCAGCATCCATCTGCAGGATACAGGGCTAATGAGAACGTACAATCGCAATACGGTTCGGAAAATTCTGGGTATGGAGCTGGAGACAACACGAATTCACAATATGAGTCTGGAATGGATCAGATGAACCAGACTGGTGTTGGCGGTGGTAATTACCCACAACACCATCGCGATAACGAGGTCTACAACAAAGGGAAAGCTCGTGATGTGCGCGACGGAGTCCAGCAACCAGAGTACAGGACGCAGCAGCCGTCTGCAGGATCCGGGGCTAATGAGAACGTACAACCACAATACGGTTCAGGAAATTCCGGGTATGGAGCTGGAGATGACACGAATTCTATGGATCAGATGGAGGGGCGTCAGACTCAGATGAACCAGACTGGGCCTGGGGTTGGCGGTGGCGATTATCCACAGCCCCATCGCGATAACGAGGTCTTTAACGAAGGGAAAGCTCGTGATATGCGTGACGGAGTCCAGCAACCAGAGTACGGGATGCAGCAGCCGTCTGCAGGATCCGGGGCCAATGAGAATGCGCAGCCACAATATTATAGTTCTGGAAATTCCGGGTATAGAGCTGGAAACGACACGCAGAATTCACAATATGGGTCTGGAAGAACTGGAGATGGGACTGCCAATGAGGAAGCAAATGCTGGATATGCGAATTCCCAGAATTCCCAGTATACTGACAATCGTTACTAAGGTATGAACATTCTTGAACTCGTTGCGCATTGCTAACACTGGAAAATTAGCTAGTTTCGAAACAGGAGTAATTGTAGACGATCGACGAACCTAAAGTCTTGTACTGTATAATTTTGTATATGGCAGTTGTAATAGTATCCAATGTACAGCTTTGACCTCGTTCATTTTCGTTCACTACTTCCACGATGGCTGCTGCCACTTCTGCGGAAACCCGCAAGGCCAAATCAAGATTAAAAACTCTTTCTTCGTCCCTCGATGAGGTTGAAGCTGCCATCGAACCTTTATTTTCAGGCGAACAAACTCTTCCTGAAATTTTACTTGCGCTAGAACCATTACAGCAGGCAAAGTTACAGACCGCGCTACCATATCTTGTATATGACTTGGTTTTCAGTATGTTTATTGGCCGTTTTCACTTTCCATCTTTTAGGCTGATTGGTACACGAAGTCTATCTCAAAACGAGAGGAATTGACCCTAAAAGCCATCCCGTTATCAATGAACTCGTATGTTTTTCCCCAACAAGCAAAGAGTAGCAATCCTATAATCTCTTTTCAAAAGGATCGAGTTCGACAATACTTTGAGAAGATAAAGAACGCGGAAAATCCTGCCGTTCGTGAGTCGATCCGATTATTTTGCGGATGAAAGTTTTTCATGTTCTTTTGTTGCAGGTGTGACGCAAGTAGACAAGGCAGCCGCGACTAGATTCATCAAGCATGCTATATCTCAAGCTCAAATCGATGCCGACGCTTCTGGTGCAAAAGGATCGCCATCCGCCGCTGGTACCCCCGCCTCTATCTCAAGCCCAAGCTCTGTTGCTGCTAATGCAAATGGTTCATCGAACTCTATATCTACACCCGCACCGGTACATGTTCCAGCGAAAGTGACGTCCAAGATGCTCGAACGCGCCGAATGGCAAAAACGAGTTGAGGAAGCAGGAAGTGAGGAGGAGAGCGATATTGAGGGATGGGAAGTTAATACCATCACTAAAGAAGACGGAAAGGGCAAGATGAAGGTGAAATCTGACTCGAAAGGGAAGGGTAAAGCGTTGGAAGTTGAAGAAGTGGAAGCACCTGGAAGCAAAAGGCGTCGGCCGGTGATGGATCCGTTTGCTGCAAGTGGTATGTTCATTGAAATCTCCCTATACTATGAGATTTTTTACTAAAGTACTCTAGGCTATGATATTGACTCTGATAACGCTTCCGACTCTCATCCTACTAAGAAACTCGCTGTTTCGCGAGACGCCAGCTCTATTCCTGATCCTTCCTCTTCTTCGCCGTCGACACCGAGTATTTCAAAGATAGAGAGGAAAAAATTGAAGAAGCAAAAGAAACTCGATACGAACAATGCGACGAATACTAAAGGTACTAAAGAGTCTAAAAACGGTCGGGTTGCCCAGCTGTTAGCGGAAGTAGCTGCGTCGCAGGGAGTGACTGTGTCGAGTGGGAGCGAGGATAATGATGTAGAGATGAGCGAGCCGGGGTCTTCACTGTCGGGTACACCTGTTCCGAATCCTACAGCGGGTGGAGGTAAAAAGAGGAAGAAGAAGGGTAAAAAGTAGTGCATGTGATTCATATTCTGTCGTTGCGAAGGACTGGTGATAAGCGTTTCTACAGCCTTTGTTTGAGCCCCATTGAATATGTATGCACCGCTGATCCTTTGAAGGGAGCAAAGATTGCGTGTAGCTATCAGTTCTTTGTACTGGCTTCAGCTAGTTCAGATTCGCCTTTCTTCGGTCTTTAAGCCATCTGTCTTTATCGAGCGACACTGCGGGACAATCGCTCCCGCCATCTTTTTGGCATCTATGCGGCGGTTTCGCTTTTTCAGAGATTCATTATTTAGGTGTAAAGTGGTGCAGTGTAAACGTCATCACAGTATGTACTAGTCTTTCAGTTTTGGCTCGCAAGACAAGTTTGAGGTTGAAAGATACAAGTTTAGACTTTACAACATATTGGCACTGCCGTACTCCATCGGCCCGTGTTTTACCTAATGTAGTTCGGAGATGAGCCTGAGGCGCACATATCAAACTAGTACAGTTAATTTATAAATATGTACCTGCTTGTCGACTTGTTTCTTAACCTCTTATTCCCTCTTTCGACATTTGGTCGTCTTCGTTGGCCACCATTTTGTTCCCCGGCCATTTGTTTCTTTTTCTTGGATCATTTCCCATTGTTCTCCGTCAAAGACGAATTGCCATTTTGGCCGTAACAATGGCCTCTTCAGCCATGCCAATAAATACCTCACCCGATGACTTTCTTGCACCTTTATCTCCTCCAAATCGTTTGGCTCCCCGCTCGCGTTCCCCATCCAAATCGCATTACAGACCGTTTTCTACCCTGCTCTCGCCGCCCGACTCTCTAGACGTGTCGCCGTCCAAATCACGGCGAAGTAGTTCAAGACCTAATAGTACCAGACCACTTTCATCTGCGATGGGATTTCTAAAAGTCGGTATGGGCAAGGACAAGGGGAAAGAGAAAGAGGACAAGCCAGTCGCGCCTCAGAGAGAAGGGTTTTTCAACAGAACACTCAAACCGAAAAAGTCTTTGAATTCTCTCGTCGTTCTTCAAGAAGAAGGATCGTCGACGCCTCCGTCTCTCTATACCCCCAGCCTCGCATCATCTTTTGCCGAAAGCTCCACGGCAGGCTTTTCTACATCAACACCTACACCTTCGTCTTCCTCCACCTTTCTCCCCTCGTCTTCTACAACTCCCGGCATCGAAATCGGCGAATATGACTTTAGAGAAGACAAGTATGAAGCAAAGGAGAATTGGATCACAAGGAAGCACAGACTAAAGCTACACCCCTACGGAGACGCGGCCCCATATATGCAATCGTACGACGCGGTCGCGCTTTCGATGTAAGTGTTTTAGCTTGACTTGCCTTCGTAAAGCATAATTCTTCCCTTTTAGCGACCGTTACATGCATAAGCTTCTCCGTCGAATCAATTCAAATAACACACCGAGCTTTCACGATTACTCCAAACACCAGGAAACCCTTCCTGCCTCGATTTTAGATCTGGGTTGCGGCGAGGGACACTGGATTATCGACTCTGCCAACTCGTGGCCCGACGCGCGGTTCGTCGGCTTTGACCTTGTAGATGTGACGCTTCCCGATATGCATAATAATGAACGTATCAAGTTCATTCGCGGCAACTTGTGCGTTTTTTTTACTTTTACTTAACCCTCACTGGATGGCTCTGATTATCA